GTGGGGGTCCCCACTGGGGTGCCTGGCCAGTCTGGGTGAGGGGCTGAGGGCCGTTTTCAGGCTGGCGGGTGACTGAAGTTCCCAACCTCTCCTTTTTTTCTTTTGGGATTTATTTACCTTCTATAGCTGTCACTGGAGCTGAGAGCCGGCTCCAGCTCTGAGGCTGTGGCTGGCTAAAAGCAGGTATCTGGGTTTGTTTAGCTTCTATAATTGAAACTCTGTTGCCATCACTGGCGCTCTAAGCTCTGAGCCCGCTGGCGGCTGAAAGCAGGTTTCTGGGTTTGTTTAGCTTCTATAATTGCAACATTGTTGCATCTGGAGCTCAGAGCTGGGCCGCAGCAGGCGGGGAACCTTGGCTTCCTCCATCACTGGAGCAAGCAAGCCTCATGTTCGCTTCAGCTGCGTGGCTGCTGGCCGCCATCTTTGTTGGCAGTTAATTTGCATATCTTGCTGATTAGCCAATGGGAAGGGTAGCGAAGTTATGGTTAATTACCATGTTTCTCTATTATTAGATAGGATACCTAATATGCAAATTATCCCCTCTACCAGGAGTTCAACTGGGAATTTGACCAGGGGGCGGGGATGGCCCCTCCCTGCAGCCAATTGGGGGCGGGGCCAGCTGGCCAACTGCCTGCGGCCCATCCCCTCAGCCGGTCCCACCCTCAATCGGCCCCCCCACACCCTGATCAGGGGCGGGGCCAGCCCACCAACCACCCGCAGCCCCTCCCCCTGGCTGGCCTGGTCCCCCATAGGCCCCCCCTACCCTGATCAGGGGTGGGGCCTGCTGGCCAACCTCCCACGTCCCCTCACCCTGGTTGGCCCAGCCCGATCGGCCCCGATCAGGACGGGCCAGCTGGACCCCATCCGTGCACTAACTTGTGCACCAGGCCTCTAGCCCTATGTAATAAAAGCCTAATATGCTAAGTGCAGACCGTTTGTTCGACTGTTCAACTGGTCGCTATGACATGCACTGACCACCAGGTGGTAGACACTTCAACCAGTAGGTTAGCTTGCTGCTGGGGTCCAGCCGATTGGGACTGGGCGAGACGGGCCAGACATGCCCTGGAGCTCTCCTGCAGTCCCTCCCCAGCTGGCCAACCTCCTGTGGTCCCTCCCCGGCCGGCTGGCCCTGATCGGGACTGGGCGAGATGGCCCGCACATGCCCTGGAGCCCGGTCCCTCCCCGGCCCCAATTATATACTGGTGGGGTCCCTCGGCCTGGCCTGCACCCTCTTGCAATCTGGGACCCCACGGGGGATGTCGCAGGCCAGGCCGAGGGACCCCACCAGTGCACGAATCTGTGCACCGGGCCTCTAGTAACAAATAAAACACTAAAATTTCAGTGGCTTAATATATTAGGCATTTATAACCCCTGTAGAGTAGTTTATCCATGGAGGATATGTTCCAAGATGCTCAGTGGATGCTTCAAACTACCATATTAAACTCTATATATGTTGTTTTTTTCCTATGCAGACATACCATTTCACCTAAAGGAAGCACTTTACCACTTCTCTTTAGTACAACTGAATTGCCAGCATCACTACTCTTGTGCTTTGGGGCTATTAATAAGTAAAAATAAGTTACTTGAACACAAGCACTGTGATAGATAACAATGATTCTGCAATAGTAGATCTGATAACCTAGACAACTACTAAGTGACTAGTGGGCGGGTAACGTTTACAGTGGAGATACTGGACAAAGGGATGATTTATGTCTAGGATGAGATGGAGTGGGATGGAGAGACTTCATTACACTATTCAGAATGGCACACAATTTAAAACTTGTGAATTGTTTATTTCTGGAATTTTCCACTTAATATTGGTAGACAATGATTGACCGTGGATAACTGAAACCACAGAAAGCGAAATTGCAGATAAAGTGGCACTACTGTAATATCCCAATGCAGTTGTTGCTGAACAGCAGACAAATTTCTCCGTGTGATTGATTCATGGGCCTAGGTATATTCTGTGGTGTTTTTGCTGTCATTACCAACGGCCCTGCATCCCTAGTCCTCTGCATCCAGACTGAGAAAGAAAATAGAGAAGGCATACCTGCTCTTAAAATTCCTGGCCTGGGCCCTAGCCAGTTTGGCTAAGTGGATAGAGTGTCAGCTTGCGGACTGAAGGGTCCTGGGTTCGATTCTGGTCCGGAGCACACCTCAGTTGTAGGCTCCATCCCTGGCCCTGTTCGGGGCATGTATGGAGGCAACCAGTTGATGTGTCCCTCTCACATTGATGTTTCTCTCTCTCTCTCTCCCCTTCTCTTCCACTCTCTCTAAAAATCAATGGAAAAATATCCTCAGCTGAGGATTAACTAACAAACAAATCCTGGCTGGGAAGTCACATGCATCATTTCTGTTCATATTCATTGTGGGAACTGTAGTTCCTGACTGGGCAGCTGCTTCCCATTGACTACATTTTGGAAAGGATAAGCACAAATTATTAATATACTAGAGGCCCGGTGCACAAAATTCATGCGGCGGGGGGAAGGTGTCCCTCAGCCCAGCCTGCACTCTCTCCAATGTGGGACTGCTGGCTCCTAACCGCTCACCTGCCTGCCTGCCTGTCTGATTGCCCCTAACCGCATCTGCCTGCCAGCCTGATCGCCCCCTAACTGCTCCCCTGCCAGCCCGATCGATGCCTAACTGCTCCCCTGTGGGCCTAATCGCCCCCAACTGCCCTCTGCCACCAGCCTGATCTCCCACACCTACCCTCCCCTGCCACAACCTGTCTCCTCCGCCAGGACCCACCTCCTTCGAACGAGCAGTGGAGACTCTGGAACTGGCCTCCTCTGTGCTGCGCGGAGCTGTGGGACCCCCAGGCCTCACTGTGCAGAGCGGCCGCCAGGCCCCGCCTCTACTGTGCATGCGGCCATCTTGTGGCGACATCGAGCGAGGGCGTGACACCACCTAGGCTTTTATTGTATAGGATAGCTTTCCATCTCTGTCATACAGGGCTACTCACTAAAACTCTTTGTAGTCATGATTTTTTTTTGCCCCCAGGTAAGTATGCAGACCATTCTGCTATTTAAAATATATCTTCTTTTTAAAATATGTTTTTGTTGATTTCAGAGAGAGGGAGAGGGAGAGAGATAGAAGCATCAATGATGTGAGAGTCATTGATAGTCTGCCTCCTGCACATCCCCTACCTGGAGAGCGAGCCTGCAACCCGGGTATGTGCCCTGACTAGGAATCAAACCTTGATCTCCTGGTTGATAGGTCAATGGTCAACCACTGAGCAACATCAGCCAGACCAAAAATATCACATCTTTTACATAGGTACTGCTGTTACAGGAGGAATTAATGGCCAGATTTCCCAGACATGAGTGGGAGTGAGGCTCTTGGGGTATTGCTGAAGTAAGCATTTTCAGAAGCCCCCCTGGGAGGATGGGATGTGGAGAAGGCTTTATTTGTATGAGGTTACATTTTTTAGGTTACAGTGCCCCATTTTCCCAAGCCAGTTCTGAAAGAGGGGCAGCTGGGAGTTCAGCAAAGCAGAAGCAGGTCCAGTGTACAGAGCTTCCTTTCCATGTTGCAGTGGAGTATACTTTAGTATTTAGTCCATTAATTCATTGTGGGAGTCCCACATGGCAGCCCCTGTAACAGAAGTCCCAAGAGGGCCTAGGGAGTGTGTGTGTGCGTGTGTGTGTGTGTGTGTGTGTGTATGTGTGTGTGTGTGTAAAAGAGAGAGCGTGCACGCCCGCACGAGCTCACATCTTTGTTTATAAATTTAAATATTTAGGTTTTGTGCACTTGCAGTGACCACGCCCATCCTGGCCACTAATTTGTTCCCAGGTATAACTGGCCAACAGGTAGGCATGTTTCCACATAACTCAGACCTTACTGGAATTTACTGAGTGATGAGTGATAAAGGTGTCTTTTGTTATTCATTTCAACCACACCTGAGTTTCCGTTCATGAAGTGATGTTTGGAAAACCCTTATGGATGGGTCTTGGTTGCCAGGGGAACCAACCAAGTGATTAGAGGGTTGGAACTTTCAGCCCCACCTCCCAGACTTCTGTGAAGGAGAGGGACTGGAGTTTGAGTTCAATTACCAAAGGAAATGATCAAACATGCCTTTGTAAAGAAGCCTCCTTTGGAGAGCTTCTGGGGGGGAAAGGCTGGTATAGTCCCCAATCCTTTTCCTCAAGGAGTTATTGGTGGCTAAAAATAACAATGGAGCACATCATCTAGTACCAAATGAATGAGATGGGCTGTAAGTAATAGGTTAGAGGAGAAATAGTGATCTCTTCAGGTTGGCATGTTATGAAAGGCTAGGGCTTAGGCTGTATCTTGCTGGGTTAGAGGTAGAGGAGGAGGAATACATCCTGGTCAGGGAAACAGCACATGTGGGGTCATCAGGCTGTGAAATGCAAGGTTCTAGGGGGTCAGTATTTTCTTTTTTTAAAAATTTATCTTTGTTGTTGAAAGTATTACAGATGTCCTCCTTTCTATTCCCTCATTGACCCCCATCCACCCCGCTCCCGCCCCCTCCCCAGGCCTTCACTGCACTATATATATTAATTCT